GTATGAACAAATCTCACTTATGTAAGGATCATATAAAACGAATACCTGTTTTGCTCGCTTATCAATTGGTGTCCATGACTTAAGAGGCGAGTAGAATCTCTCGTTTTTCGGCGAGGCTGAAGAATTCTTTGAACGCTTCTGCTTTTTCTCTTCTGGAAATTTTCTAAGAGCGTTGCCTCCTTTATACTTGAAAAACTCTAGTATGGAAGGACTTTTCCTCTTGATATTAGCTTTCTTTAGGTTCCCTGAGGTTTCCAAACTAGAGTGAGGAACATAAGTAGGAAGAGATTGTTGCTGTTGCCTTGCTCTGCTTCTTTCTCGAACTCTGTTAAGAAACTCCATAGTCCAAGGAGAACCTTGTACTGGATTTGGAGAATGGATTGCGTTTGATAGAGGAGATCCACCAAAATGTGATATCTCCTCACTAAATGGAAGCTCCGTTGTTGAAACTGCAGATCTCCGTGTTAAGACTTCCTCCAATAGGGTCCTTTGCCGTTTTGCTGGGAAGCTATCAACAAAGCCACGCAAAGAAGCATTGTTGTCATTGATTCTTCTGGAAACTTTTCTTGAATCTTTCTCGGTGGCCAATCTTTCAGAACTCGAGTTTATCTCAGCCGCTTTTGGGAAGTTAGGCTGGAGAGATTCAAAGAAAGATAACTTCCTTGCACATTTTGATCTTCTAGGATGGTCGTCTTCATCAACATCAGAAACAATTGGAGAAAACCTTTTATAACCAGTAGAAGGGGGGAAGTCTTCCTCGAGAAACTTACTATCCGCTATGTTGATAACTTCACCTTTGTAGTCTTCGGTGAAACTCTCTGAATTCCTAGTGTCATCATGCAAGTTCAAGTTTCCCATCACTGGAGATTTACATCTTCTCTTCTGGTTCATGAATTCGTCTTCAACTGGGAAGTTCCAATCTTCTAATTCAGGAATTCCAGGAAGACTGTCCTCCACTGAAAAATCAGGTCGATCCTTTTCCCAAAACGCGTTCTTTGATGAAGAACCAGGTCTTGACTTCTTGTCAATTCTCTCAGGATCTTTGGATTGCCCAAAGTCATTAGAATGAATGATTCCAGAAGGTTTGCGAGGTGGATCAGAGAATTCAGTTACAGTGCCAAAATGAAGTATCTCATGATCTCTAGATGACCAAGAATCATCAACATGGAAATCCCCTGAAGGCTTGAGCTGCGCATCAGCAAATTCTTTGGAAGGAACAACATGGACCAAGTCGTCCAAATCTATTTCATCTTTCCCAGTAACGTACTGTTTCCTTTTCCAACCAGAATGAACACTGAAATGGTGTGTGTCTGAGTCAGGTCCAGAAGATACCGAAGAAGAGCTGTCTGTCATTACAGATTTAGAGTCCTCCCTCGCACCATATCTGCATAATGAGGTAAATAGATCCACACTCTCTTCAGGTACATGATACTTTTGCAGCCTTTGAACCTTGGTACTCTGTGGGAGCTTCATGAATTCGTAAAGTGACCCAGCAGATGACAGAATTACTTGAGCTGTAAGTGGATTCACGGAAGGAAATTTGGTGAGAAATGATTCTGCAAGAGATTCTGACTCGGGCATTTTGACATGGACTTCAGACAGCTTAACAGAAGATTTGATACACCTCAATATAATTTCATCAGTTATATCAGCTGAGGATGAACAAAAAATCTGTAAACCGATTCCCAGGCTACCAGCTGCTGCATACAGTTCATCAGAAGAGTCCATTATTGTAGCCAAGCAGGCAGGTTCCCCCTCAAAAACCTATAGGAAATATAACAATCATTATTTAAGAATGCAGTGGACTCACTCTCCAGTTTAGAAGAAATTATCGCAGCAACATTTAGAAGTTTGATTTCATCAATTTAAGGGGAAAAATTAGAAGATGATTCTCAGAGTGCAATAAATTCCAGATAAAGAGTGCAATGTTCCCACAAAAAAAAGGCAGGAAGCGAAGTTCAGTGGATTTACCATAATGCAGCTGCTGAAACAGAAACTCAGTGACGTCAAAACATTGGTTGCAATATCCCCAATCCATGAAAGTGAGCTTGAGGAAGCCCCAATAGTTTCAGCCAATTTCTTACTAACACTTTCACAATCATACCAGAGTAGGCAAATTGCAGGACTTAGCATCAGGTCCACTGGTAGATCTGAATCGCGCTCCACGACTTGCACTCCTTCTTTTTCCATCGCCAAAACCTTCTGGTATGTACTTCTTCTGGATATGATCATCTCCTTGTAAACATTTTTTGTGTTCACAACAATTGCAGCTCTTTGGTCAGATTGAACTCTCCGTTCATTTATCTCACTTCTTCTCCCAGATTCTTGAGGCACGGAGACAAATTCAGATTCCTTTGTAGTTTCTGAAGATCCTTCATAACACACACTTTCAAGTGGAACAAAGTTCAACACGTCTTCCAACCACCCAGTTTTCGTCTCAAGTTCGTCTCCCTACAAAAGAGACGTTAGAGTTCAGACATAGGTTCTTGTACACCAACGAATATTTTGGACCATGTAGATGTAAACACAGAGATCAGCTATGCATATATTGAAGAAGCTTGCATACAAGTGATAAGACAAAACAATTTTAGGTCCAAGTATGTACTAGTATTAAACTTGTATGATTTTCAGACTCGAAAAATCAATCAAGATCATGTGCTCAGGAAAACATTAGTTTGATATAGATTTCTCCTTTTCTCTGGATTAGATACCTTCACACACAGACTCTTTCACCATATTGTTCAATCTACAGATATAACCTTTATTGCAGAAAAGGTTGAAAGTTGACCGGCTCACCTTTATCATTTTAAGACTGTTAGGTACTGTAACACCTGTGGAGAGTTGCCCACATGCACTGGACATATCCAGCTCCACTTTTATGAAATGGAAGCAAGGAAAGCGATCCAACGTCAAAGGAGAACAAAATCTGGGCGAGGCATTTGGACTTCCATATTCTATAATGAGCGTGAATTTCTCCAGATGAAAAGATGGAGAAATGTGCCTATAATAAAAGAAAAGCAAGAACTAGTTAGCCACCTTAAATACTCTTCAAAAGAACAATTGGAGATGTTGAACAAGAAGGTACGTTCCTTAGCATGCAAAGATCCAAAGACAAAAAAAAAAAAAGTAGCAATTTCACGACCAGCTGTCATAAAAAACTGTCAGAGATAGGAACTATATTTAGTGGTGTCTCTTACAATCACCATGCTAAAAGACCCGTTATCCATCAATTACTTGGTTCCCTTTCCAGTTCTCATAAAAATAAAATTTGAAAAGCTAAGATCATTGATAATGAGGATACTACTATAGCAAGAAATAATACTTACTCGTAAGAAATGATAAGACAGTCTGAAATTTGCAGGAAACCAAGTTCTGTGGCTTCACTAACATTTGGTTGATTTCCACTTGGGGAGGTACAGTTGAGCTCACTGTAAGATAACTCCATCGACATCAATAGCCTCTTCAGAGAAGACCAAAAAACTTTCTCAGCCAAAAGTAATGCTTTAGAATTCCCCCGGGAAAATTTTGACTGTAAAATCCCGTGGATAACAGCTAGGGATGGATGCGATCTTGTGATGTCTGTGTCAACTGCCTTGTGTTCCGTTTCAACTGATGAGTAGAGGGTGTGCAATCCTATCTTCATGGGATTTGAGCTCCGACATAACTTACTAAGATAGAGATATGCCACATGGATGCCAAAGAAACACATATACCATGTCATCTGCTTAATTGCTAGCAGCAATGCAAACGTGAAAGCCTTATCATCCGCCAACTGTGTTTTGTGGACATTTGCCTTTCTTATGCAGTCAATAAGCATTCCTTTAGAGATGCTGAGTAACTTAAGTTTATCTTCTGATAATGATGAAACCAACTCTGACTCATCCTTCACAAGAGCTATATAGCTCTTCTCAAAGTCCTGAACAAGGGACAGAATATTTTCTGAAGGATGAACACTGTGAAGTATCATATCCTCAGTCTTCAGGTTTGGGTGCATGCCACCAGGTATACATGAAGCCTTTGGGGAAACAGACATAATTTTATGGTTGGCAGTCTTAGCAGCTTCGACTCTAGACTCCAGATTCTCTTCAATCACAGCCTTCTGAGGATCCATGAAAAAGGTCAAGTCATCAAAAGCAGACATTGATTTGAACAACAGTGTAGCCTTCTTAGCATTATCATCTCTTCCACAATCCCCGGCTCCTGTTTTTGGACAAGGGTTTTCCAATAACCCATGGGAAGTATCAACAGAAGGATGCTCGTCAAGGGTAGATATGCCGTAGAAAGGTTCAGTGCATCTCTCTACAAGTGGCTCGCAGAAAGCATCTTCAGAGAAAATGAAATCATAAACCCATTTGTCTCCTTCTGATGTTTCCCACTTATAATCAACGTTGCATTTAACTATTTCTTCAAACGGATAATCACTAAAAGGGGCTTCATGGTTGTGCTTTCTTTCCTCAAGAAGGTTCCAGGGCAAGTATATGTCATTTGATGCAGACAAGGATTGAGGCTTGATCTCTGACAAAACATCCTCATAAATCAGATCCAGAGATCTGGTCATCTCATCATCATATAAAAGAGGAGTTGGCAGAGACTTGAAAGCATCATCTGTGAAGGCAAGTTCAGAACTGACAACTAATTCATCGAAATTCTTGAAATTCAACTCTTCGCTGAACATTCCATTACATATTGCTGGTTCAATGGCTTTTTGAAGACAAAGGAAGATATAAAAAATATCAGATATCTCCACATCCAGAATTTGAAATTCCTCAAAAGTTACTGGGATCGTGGTAAAGTCATAATCAACAGCCAGCTTTCCCTGTTCAAACTGAAAGTTTCCCTCAGCATTTGATGTTTCCAGGACAGTCATTATATCCATTTCAGAAAATGCACCCTCTGGTACCATATTAGATTGGCCACTCTTGCTCGAATAGCAATCTGTAGAGAGGATATCCAATAGATCATAATCCTTAGAGCCTATAAGCTCCTCAGAATTGATAATGAGAGCACTCTCTGCATTCTTCTCTTGGGGTTTAATTGTTTCCAGAACAGTAAATACTTTATCAAGCACAGATAAGCTTGATAGCCCGCTCAAGTTTACTTCATCCACTTCTAGAAGGGGGAATTTGGCATCTTTGAACCATGGTTGATTCTTGCCAGAGCATTCATTTTCTGCATTCATCCCTCCATTGTTCTCAGTGAAGTAATCAGAAGAAATGTAATCAACAGAATAAATCTTTTGTTGGATGTCATTTGAGTTCTGTAAGATAATATCTGACTCGTTAAATTTAACCTGCAAAAGAAGGCCAGCTAAAATCAGATGATTACTGGAGATGAAAATTCAGAAGCAGCTTAACATGGTCAGAAAGTTGAAATGATTTTCCATAAAAATATTTCATCGAAAGGCCTTTGTTGATTGGAAAGTAGAATCGGAACCAGAGAAGAACATGAAAACCATTTCTACCATTTTACAGCAAAAGCAAAACCGCTGAGATGTGTGAGAACTTTACAATCTGACTTTTACTGAAACCAACATAGGGGGTTTACCTGCTCATTTTCGATCTCTAGAACTTTAGAGAAACATTGGAGATCCTCCCTCTTTGATGAGACCATATTTTCCTGCATATTAGAAGATCATTTATCTTGTAAGGAAAAAGAAAATGTTGAACTAGTTTGATTGGAACATGTGAAAACTGAATGAGCAAACTACCATTTCGAAATCCAACTCTGGAGTCTCCAACTGGATAAAGTTAAAATTAAGGGTAGCTTTCTCCTCGATGACATTACCGTCATTCTTCTGCAATAGATCAAAACTCAGGCTATTCAAAATCCAGTCAGACTCCTGTAAGCTAGCAGAATTTTCACCTCAGATATGAATGTGAGAGCGAAGCAACAATTATCAGTACAGAATAAAGTGGCGACACTACTGCATATGGAAATTGAGCAAACAATCCATGAATTTTAAGAAAATCTACAACAATTCTCATTAGAAGAGACTAAGGACAGGCGAAAGAACATTCATATACACAGAGAGATTCAATAGAAAATGTTCCGTTCATATCATGAGTCTAGATCATAACTAAACAAACCAAACAAAAGAAGAAGGCACCAATCAGAGAAACATCAAAATACGAACTCTCCAGGAATTCAAAATTTCACCTCCAGAAACTGAGAGTTTCCAGATCCAAGGAACTTTACCTCGTCTGAGAAATAACCTCCGGGGGAAGAGTTATCGGTTTCAAAAACTCCATAGTCCACACTGACGCGACCGGGAACCACGTCGGAAAGGAACTTCGATAGAGCAGCGTCGATAGGCAAATTTGCGATCGGGAGACAGAAATCTTCGACAGATTCAAATCGAAGACGGTCATTTTCACCGTCGCACACGACGGATGCCGGGAAAGTATCAGGAACCGGAAGATTGAGAAATCCTAGGGTTTCATACACCAGAGAAGACGAAGAAGAGAAATAATCGGTGTTGAGAAATCGACTTCGCATCGTAATTTTCCAGATCCGTCTTGGATGTGAGACTGTGACTG